ATTGTTGGAATTAATTATCAAGTTATTAACACAAAATTTTCATTTTTTATTTTAATAGATAATTCAAATGCCAAAAGAATGGGTGCCACATGGCAGCCTCTCATAGCTTTGGTTTTGAAGAACCTTAAAATATTATAATTTGTGATGGATTAAGGTTTTTTCAAGAGTCTTGGATAGAAGTGTTATGTCCACTACAAATTGTATTAATTTCATTAAGGGGTAGTTAGAAAATTGGGTTTAGAAGGTGTGAAGACTAAAAAAACCTTAATTATGAATATCTCCAATCAAACTTTAACAATCTAAAAAATCTTAAAATCATATCTTAATTTTTTCACAGCATTTTTGTTGTTGTTCATGTTAGGCTTCTTTTAATCGAAACTTCTCTTTTGTGATTTTTTAGAAAACAAAATCACAATATACCTATGTAAAAATAAAAGTCTTAAACATTTTTTGTATATTATATTGTTGGATTTAACAAATAAAATAACTACTTTTCAAACCATTAAAAATTCACAATAACACATTTAATATTGAAATTAGCCATTAAATTGTTGGAATTAATTGTCAAGTTATTAACACAAAATTTTCATTTTTTTCAATAGATAATTTAAATGTCAAATGCCAAAAGAATGGGTGCCACATGACAGCCTCTCATAACTTTGGTTTTGAAGAACTTTAAAATATTATATAAGATTAACCAATACACAAAACCATCAATCATCATTCACATCCACATTGTAAATATCAATCATCATTTACACTCACATCATGAGTATCAAAAGCAGTAATCCCAAAATGAAATCTCCAAATGCCTAAACCGTCATCATCGATTACATTCATATTCCGAGTGCAGAGAGCAGCAATCCAGCAATCCTAAATGCATGGAAACAGTCAAGTCTAGATAAAATATCAATACCTAAGATATGTTGCAACATGTACCAAATCAGAAGTCCATATGTGAAGTCATAAGTCTTGACCTCAACTATTGTCGATGTGATGCTATGTTCAAGATCAAGGTCCGGTCTCATACCCAATACCTTAAACGGTATTGTAATCCATTGAAGAACAAAGTTTGCAAAGCGATGATAAATCAATACACCAAAGCTTGGAGAGAGCTCTTCGACGGTGTTGAAAAGGTCAAAGTGATATGCTTTGTTGACGTAACTCCTCATCAAGTATTTATCATACCCGTTCATGGAAAGCACAGTGAAACGACCAACAAGTCTTACTATTAAAGCTGCTCCAACCGCTTCATTTGGCAGTGAACCAAAGCTTTGGCTCCTAGATAAAATCAGTAGTGGATGATTTCAAGAGGAGAATGAAGATATTGTTGCCACAAAGATTTAGTGAAAGTGGTAAAAGGTTTTGAGTAGTCTTGAGAAGAAGTGGCTATAAAAAAGATAAGTTTATTGAGATGTTGATAAGCAGATATGACTTCAATGCGATTAGATACATCATTTTATTAGTTAATTTTTACGTAAGTTCAGTGGTGTGTTTCAAGGAGTATCTTGTTTGTTGTTCTTTGTTTGGAATTTTGTGTGAATATGAAGGGAAAAATGCAAAAAAAAAACTCCGAGGAATCTTTTCTTCGACGAAAAAACGCTTTGGAATCTTGTGGTGATAATTAAACCCTAACATTTTCATTTAAAGCAAATTAAACCTTAACATAATAATTTAACGCAAATTAAATCCCCAACATTTTAATTGAAAACAAATCATACCTGTAACGCCCTCGATTATTTATAGACGGGGAACGTCACTGATGAACACTTAGATGTCTGATCAGAGGTTCCGGAACACATCCAAATTCCCTAGACAAGACTTCTAAGCATCTATCCCCATTGAATACACCAAGGCTTGCCAACCCGAGAAATACACAATGGTTAGTTCGTCCAGACAAAGATTAGTATCACATGAAACCCGAATTTATGCAAACTCAATTTTATATACAATTTATACATAAGTTTAAAACGTGATACAAGCATATACAATCGTGAGTCTAACACTCCAAAACGATCATGTACATAATAAATATTATTCATTTACAAAAGGCAAAGAAATCTACTGCTAGATTTCCTAACGCTCCTTTCGCTCCCGGTGGTCTACCCGTTAATGGTTACCTGCAACACAGTGAGTCGTAAGCACTAGTTGCTCAGTGAGTCTGGGCTCCCCTAACATTCGATAATTAATTCCCAACCAAACCCAAAATAAAAATCAACACGCAAGCATGCAAATCTAACGAAAAAAAATGCGATAAGTTATGCAATGTCATTATAATTTCAATAAGGCCTTTTACGTAGGCTATTTCTCTTCACGTCAAATCACAAGTTATCCTTCATCCCAAAGCCACAAAGGCTAAGGACTTAAGATCCTTCACCGTTCCAATGGCCTTATNTNTATAAGGATCCGCACCGNAAATTCTGCATCNTCATGNAGTACACGGCCAAAGGCTGCAATCCCGTCTCTCCGTGTCTTCATGTACTTAAGTTAATACTCAATGTACTAGCTAAGCCATGGCATCAAGGGAATGTCTTACCGTGATTATCATAATTTATAAGTTTTACGAACAATTTAAGTTATAAGAAAACTTATAAATATGTATCAACAATTCACTTAGTAATTTCATATGCTAAAGCTTTTAAGGATTACTTAGCAAATATACTAATCACACAGCAACGAACCTCACTTGCGAATTAATTAAACACGCAACAAGTATCACCGAGACTCACCTTAACTTAGTGAACGGTCGCGGTTTTGCCCAAAGTTTCTTACTCTTGGTTTACCTTAGACTCGAACTAGAACTCTGCATAACAAGTCGGCCTAGTTATAAAATCAACCTTCACGTTCTTAACAAAAAATCTAAGGGACAAAGCTCACGGATCTTACCTAGATCATATCAGAACGGACCACGACTTGCTCGCAGAAATTCTCGTTCCTTAGAAACCTAACAGAAACTAAACCCACATTTCAACATGGTTCTGGTCAATTGATCAAGAAACCAAGATTAGGATCGTGACCAGAACGAGAAAACAAGTCGGGAAGGAAAGATTTCGGACTGTGGATGCATACCTTAAGTTTTCCCAAAACTTCCCGGTAAGGCTCGTGGTGGACTGCGCAGTGGTTTGGGGTGGACTGATTATGATCGGATCAAGGCTGAAAGTTTTCGTGTCTCTTGCTTACTAGGTCGGGACGACCTTTAAATAGGCGCGCCCAAGCAGGTGAAGTAGCTGGACAGCTCGCGGCCACCTGCCCAAGCCGTCCTACCTATCACTGCCCAGGACGCGACACAGAGGGTCCCTTGACCAGGTGTGTGGCCGACACAAGCCGGCGTGTGGTCTGCTCATGCGACCACATCCTCGGCACATGCTAGGCACAAGCTTATCCACGGTCTGCCCACGACTGGAGCAAGAACACTGCTCCGTCACCAAGCACCCTTGCACACTGCTTAGTCACCGGCAAGCTAGCAGGTTCCTGAGTCACCGAGGTGCTTACTGGGTTTTCAACAAAAACTGTCCGAATGATCGGACCGATCAACGAGTCTTTGCCTTGGCTTCTACTTAGCCACAGT